GTATCGTGGAAGCATATCGAGCGAATGGATGTACTCCTCCAACTGGAATTACGGCGCATTCACTCAGGAGCACGGCAACCAATGCAGCATTGTTTAACCGATCGTCTGTAGAAGAAGTCTGCAAGGCGGCAACATGGTCTTCCATATCGACCTTCACGAGGCATTACAGGATCCATACCATGGCATCCGCAGATGCAGCGTTCGGGAGAAGAGTTCTGCAGCACGCAATCTCCCTGGAAGAAGATGACAACCCACCCAGATAAGGGACACTGCTCGGGGAGGTCCCATGCAGATGTCCTCCGCCTCAGAGGGAGAACGACCATTGGTCACTTACCGTGAAGGGTCCTTCTCCTCTGAGGAAAGGAGGACATCTGGGCCCTCCCGCTGTCATCTTTTCTTCCTGTTCTTACTGTTCTTGTTCAATTTTATTTCTGCTCTATCTTAGTTACAGGATAGAGTGAGTATTCAATCGTTATAATTGTTCGCAGTTGTGTTTTTTTATAGGGCAAGGTTAGTTTTTCAGGCTGCAAGACTGCTTTCGGAGTCCCAGAACTGCAGTTGGGATATTCCAAAGGCACCAACAGGGGGGGGAAATCTACGTCCTGCCTCCCTATTGGCACGGTGGGAATAACCCATGCAGATGTCCTCCTTTCCTCAGAGGAGAAGGACCCTTCACGGTAAGTGACCAATGGTCGTTCTCCACAACGGCTAAGGTGTCTGTCATTCTCCTTTTTTGTATCACCTTCTCTCTTTCTAGGATGAGGCCATATCCAGAAATGAATTTAAGTTGGGTTCCGTGTTACAGTCCAAGATCAATCGTGGCTCTGGTGTCCAATAAGCTTGAAGGCAGTTGCTTCAGCTCAGACCTCCTAGGCAGTTTTGTTCCACAGCTGCACTGTAAAGTCAGAAACATTTTGAAAATGCTTCACCAGAGAGCTGCAAAAGTTCTCAGTGGAGTTAGTTAGCAAACCCCCCATGTGCCTTGGCAAGTTTTTGGAAGGACTGGCAAACAGTGAAAGAAAACAGAATTGTTACTCAATTGCTAGTCAAAGAGAATGGGAGGAAGCACGGAAGACCAGTATCACTACACAAGGAACTGTCAGGAAGTGGAGGAAAGGTTGGGCTATGTCTGGACAATTCTAGATAGACAAAGGCTCAGAATGAACAACATTTAGCAAGAGATGTTAAATGCAACAAGGAGGGATTTTGTGTCCGATGGCAAAAGAAAGTCACATTTCACTGGCTGGGGGAGAAATGGAAATGGTACCAAGGTAGCTGAGCTGCACAGAAATTGCTGTTGTTCCATCAAAAAAACAAATATGAGCATTGGTGCTGTTATTAATGATACCAGCACAGATGAGATAGGGGAGAAGAATTCAAGCATGTTTCTTGGCAGTTTCCCCATGTGATTGTGGTTGTGCTTGCCTTTGAACAATCCACCTCTGTCTGGTTTTTTCCAACTAGGCCCCCGCAGGAGCTGCCACTCCAGAACCATCTCCTGTAGCTTCGTTCTCCAGCCCTGCTGTACCAGGGTTGATGCCTGTTGGGGACCCTGAGAAAGTCAAGCCATCCAACACTTCCATCCAGCCTTCATCCTCGGAAGATGCCATTCCAAGTTCCATCACTGTTCAGGGGGGAGAGACTGTGACGGCCCAGCAGGTGACCTCTGTTCCCACTGGCGTTCCCACCAACAACAGTGTTAATGTGGCCCCAACTAATCCTGCCACATTACCTAGCACCATTCCCCCAACACCAGGTAAGAGGAGTCATTTTCCAGAAAGGTGCTATAAACCTTCCTCTCAGTGATGCTGGCAGGGCACTTCTGCTTCTCCTCTAATCTGATTGTTCAATTGCCAAGAGATCTTTTTGAATAAGGATTTTCTCCGGGGTGTATTTACAATAGCATATCTTGTTAGCCTCAGCTCGAAAAGCTGAAGGTAACCACTTCATAGATTAGTATACCAGATTAGAAGAAATGGTTGTGGCCTGTGCCTTGGCTTCTCTTTTGTGGCCCACTTCCCTTGATGAAATATGGCAAAGTGATCTGAGTGTTTCCCCAGTCATCAACATCAGCTGAGCAATACTTGCCACTGTTCCAAATGCAGTGTAGTCATAGTCTTCCATACTTCTACAACCGGGGACCTTCAATAGATACCTGTTTGTTTGTTTGTTTGTTTGTTTAAACTCTTCCCTTCCATTTTCTCACTCTGCTGTCTGCTGCTTCTCCTCTTGGGCAGCCTGTCATACTGACTGCTGATGTTGAAAAAGGGCAGTGGCGCAGTGTTATCGGGTGCATGTTAGGGACTCTCCCGACCAGCCCCGACCTTCTCGCTTCTTTGGAGCCCCCTGGGTCCTAGTGACAGCCAGGGGCTTCTCTCGTCCTCCTGGAGGGAGGTTGGGTTGCAAGAGACTTGTTCAGGCGACCCCCCAACGGTGGGGGGGGGGCTGTGTTTGATCCTGTTTCGAAGCGGACAAGGAGCAGCATGGTTCGCCATGTTGCTGAAGCTGTGAACGCCCGTTTTAAACTTATGATTTCACAATTCAACATACAACGAAGACAGGACTGTGAGTACACATATACTCTCTTTTGAACTGACGAAACCCTATATTGGCAGACCCCTTAAGGATTATCTCTGAAACAGGAATGTGTGTTCGCGGCTTGGAAAGGAACTAGAGTTAAAGATTTGAAATGGCGATGGCGGGGGAGAAAATAGAAGCCTCAACAACAGAATTAGTATTGATAAACCTAGGAAATATGGGAAATGGGTACTTGACTAGAGGAATTCAAAAAATATTTACTAGATGGTGTGCACCAGGCAGCCGCAGAAGCTTGTAAGAACTTTATAAAGAAGCTCCAGAATGCAGACTCGGAAGCTAAAAACGAGGAGGAGCAGCTGCGGTATCATTGTAACTCGGAAAGTTGTGAGACTGAACAAGGCGATGCTTTAGAAAAGGAGACACAAGATACTCTTCCTATATTGTTGGGAAAAGTAAAAAAGGCCTCCAGACAAAATTCTGACTTAAAGAGACAAATTCTGTACTGAAGGTTAGTCTGAAAAGGGGTAGCTGCTCAGTTTAGTAATCCTTAAAACAGTCCCACAAGGTAGTCTAGTAGTATTACTGCAGTTGGGAGAGAGGTACATTGGCTTGCATCTAAAGGCCACCAGACTAGTTTGTGGCTGAGATGGCATTTGAACTCTGAGCTTCCCCAGTTTTGTAAATCACACACGTATTCTGGGAGTTGACATAACATAGAGGCTATTTTCCTCTTGTCCATGCTTCCTTCAAGTGTACACTTTATCTTTTCTGAAGGCTGTTAAATCCATTATCTTTTTGAAGCAAGAAATGTCATTTTGCTTCCCCCCCCCTCTGTGGGGGTTGTGAAGGGACCAGGAATGACAGAGTTGTTTAAGAAGGGCGGCAGTGTTTATGCAAGCAGAATAGGAATCAAAACTAGGATTCAGTGATACAGCAAAGGAGGCACAGCTGGTTAACTTACATGGGATCCACATACTTGCTTCAGTATAAAATGGTTCTCAGTTCCAGCTCAGAATACTATGGATTCTTAGTGTGTTTCTAAACAGCTAAGCATTACTGCTGTATAAATAGAGGCCTTCTCTATAAGAGAGTAGCTAAATTGGTCTTCTTTGTCTGACCACCATTGTACGAGAGCAGCTAGATTGTCTATTGAAATGTATCTGACTGAACCTTTCCTATCTCTGCTGCATCTAGCTGAACAGGCCTCCTCGTAAGTACAAGGCAAAGAGGCATGTTTCAGCTCCTCCGAGAAGACAGCAATGGTTCTCATCTGAGTAATTCTGTGGGGGGGGTTTCATTCACTTCGTGATTGAAATCTAACATGGCATCTGCATTTGTCAAATGGAATAGCACAGATTACCATTCCAAGAGGGTAGCCATATATATCTCATGCAACCAAGAGAATCTTGTTGCATCTTAAAGATTAACCAATTTATTTTGGCAGAAGTTTTGTGAGCCAGAGCCCATGTTATCAAATGTAAGATTTACAGTATAATGAGATAACATGCAACTTATGTTGCACTATTCCAAGCTCCAGAATATTTCAGTTTGTGAAGCTGAACTGAGAAGCAAGCGACCCCTTCACACAATAATTCTTTCACTCTGTATCCAGGTGTAGGGATGAAAAACATGACATGAATTGTCCCCCCCCCCTTTATCTTTTTGATTCTGATTCTCTTTCAGTTATTAAGAAACTGGCGGTCTCTGCTGGAGATAGTGTACAGGTGACCCTTCCAAAGAATGATGTGGAGCTGAATGCATATGTCTTGCCTCTACCAACTGAAGGTAGGATTTAAATCTCTGCTGCACATTGTGGAGCAGGAAGCCCTTGAAAATGTCATTGGTTCTGCTAAATGGATGCCAGTTTAATGACCATACAGGATTCAATAATGAAGTTGAGACCTGTTAACCAACCTTGCTTTTGATGCCACTTCCAGGATCTAGTTGTGTATGGCCAAGAAGTCAGTATTCCACACACAGCAGCCTGTTTCTGATCTGGCCTTTTGTGCGCTGCCTCCTCCCCTGCGCTGGACCCGCCTTTTGAGTGGCTTACAGCCATCTTTATGGGATGACTCTTTCCCAAAGTGCCCATGGGGGGAAAGCAGTTGTGGGAATAGGCATCAAACAAAACTGTTTTAAAAAAGAACAGTGTTACGGCTCTTTGAAATGAAATTTCAGTGCCTGATCTGCTCTTTTATTTTTGTAATTGTGAATCTTCTTCATCGTAGGAAACACCTACTCTTATGACTGGAGACTGATCACCCATCCCACTGATTATAGCGGAGAGATGGAGGGCAAGCATTCACAGATCCTCAAATTATCCAAGGTAGGTGTCTCGCTACTTTTGCTTAAATGCAAGAGGCAGTGAGAGAAGAAGAGATTAGCTTGGTCTGGAAGAGGCAAATATAGTAGAGGGTTATCTGTGCTGTAGTGGAAGAGTGGGAACACTAAATTAAAATACTCTATTTGTAAGTACCATGTCAGCTCTTTAGCTGCAATTACTGTTAAATATGCAGGTAAGTGCAGGAGGGATTGTAAAGAGAATTTCAAACTGCACAATGGTCACTGGGGAGTTTTGGAGTTGGTGGAGCTCTAGTGTGTGCAGTGGGGGGGTTGCATGGGTGTTAAGCATGTGTTCTTCATATGCTTGTGTTGCTACTAGACTCCTACGTGTTGTCCTTGCATGTGTCCACACTGTTTGGGAAATACCCCTCTTTGGAGTTAACCACTGAGCTACTGGCATCTGTCAACAGTGTAATTTTTGACTGGCAGTCAGTTTTACATTGAACAGTCTGATGTTCCCTGCTTCTCTTCTTCTTCAGCTCACGGTTGGCCTGTATGAATTCAAGGTAATAGTTGAAGGTGATAATGCACATGGGGAAGGAAGAGTGAACGTGACAGTGAAGCCAGGTATGGCCAGCACCAGCATTTCATCCCTTCATCTCACAAACTAGATGTCTTCTGGGCTTAATCACGGAGAAGTAACTCTCCACCTGGGCTTGAGAGACAAGCAAGCTGTTTGGCATTTTTGAAACTGTGCCATTCTAAATGTTACTGCATTTTAGCTGCACAGAAGTCTTTGGTTCCTTCTATTGAGACCATGCTGTTAAAATGGGGGATGAGGCTGAGTGGTAGAACTATTTATTTCCCATGCTGCCCCCAGTCATTTCTTCTTTGCCCCACCATCACGCAGTTGTTTCTGAAGCCTGCAAAACCAATGAACAGAACGAGCAGTGGTATGAGTGTGCACACTATGGGCAGTTGTCCTGGTGGTGTCCCACCTCCCTGGATGTATCACTGGTGGTTTTCACATGGGGATGAGCTTGTGTGGTTTCACCTGTTACTGGTGTGGCTGTTGTTAAAGAGCAGCAGCAGGGCTCCCACATGGCAGTTTTCCTGCTGTTTCTTATCTTAGTCCCCTCCCCCCAGCAGCAGCCACTCCTCATGCCTTTCCACGTATATCTGGGGAAGGGGATAGAGACTTACTTTTTAAAAATGAAAGCTAGGAATTTAGGGAACCCATTACCCTTATTGTGATAACAAAATGAAAGTGCCAATGTTTTAAAAAATGCCAGGGGGAAGAATGGCTGCCACAGGGACAGGGTCAAGGAAAATGGCTGCCGTGTAGGTGGGAAAATCTGAACTTTCCCACCTGCACAGCAGCCACCCAGGCTTTACTGCCCTCTTTCCCAAAACTTGAGAGCAAAGCAGGTTTGAGAAAGACCGGATAAAAGCCAGGGAGACACCACAAAATGCATGAATACAGCACAATGCTGTGAGGTAGCACAACCACCACCACCCCACTCCCCAACAGTACTGAAATAGGGGCAGATAACCTGTGTGGTGATGGCCACTGTCTCCAGCCACTTGCCAGGCACTCTGTATAATGGCTGTATCTAGCACTTTTCCTCCAAGGAGTTCAAGGTAACATATGTGATTCTCCGTTGTCCCTTTTTATCCTCACAACAGCCCTGTGAGGTAGGTTAGGCTAAGAGACTGTTTCTGGCCCAAGGTCACTCTGCAGGTTTCATGGTAGTGGGGGGATTTGAGCATGAGTCTCACAGCTCCTAACCCAGCACTCTGTCTGCTAGGCCACATTGGCAGAGGAGCAGATCCTAACAAGTTAGCAAATAAAGTGGAATGTGACTTTGAAAGGGTGTGCCTTGAGCTAGATTTTTACCAGTTTCTGGAAAAAATTAAAAAGCTTTCCCCAAATACCTTGAGTCTAGCCGTGCTAAGAGAAAGTACACCTGATGTCAAATGCTGTCAAGCATCAAAGAAAAATGGAAAGTAAAACCATGCACAGCTGCACCTTCCACCAACACAGTGTTAAACTGTGGCATTTTCATCTAGGAGAACACAACAAATCCAGCTCCCACAACTTACCGCCCACACAAAAGTGTGCTTTTGTATTTTGGCCCACCTTTTTTGTTGCCTTGATCAGTGTCAGGACTACACTACCCAGGTCCGACGGTTGCAAGCCTGTTCTGTTCATCAGGCAGGGGATCCCTTTGCAAGGCCAGGAACAGGGAGAGGTTAGGATAGGGATTCCCCCACCTCTTTCAGATTGTGGACACCTTTCGAATTCTGGTGTTGGATGGTGGCTGCCACAAAATGGCTGCCACAGGAGGTGAAGCCAACCACAAATATGGCATTTGCAGGGCAGAGCCACACACACAGAGGAAGCTCAAGTGCAGAGGAGAAGAGGGGTAATCTTTAAAAAAATGGGAAAGGGAATAAGGGAGAATAAAGCCAACAGTGTGGTGGTAGCTACCTCTAAAACGATGTTATTTTAATCTGTACAGCCAATCAGCTCTCCAGTGGCCAGTCAGAAGCCTTTCTCTGCCAGAGCCTCACCTGCCCCCACCCACTTTCAAAAGACCACCACTGATTGCTATAGGCGCATCCCCACACATTCCCGCTCCTTTTGCAGGAGGACTGCATGCCTGCCTGGGAAAAGATCAGCTCTCTTAACATAGCATTGCTGTTGTTTTAGCAGCACCTAGTGGCCTTTTTGGGAAAAGCTATGCCAAGAATAGAATCATAGAATGTTAGAGTTGGAAGGGACCTTGCAGGTCATCTAGTCCAATCCCTGCACTCTGCAGGAGCATAGCTGAAAGATAACCCTACAACATACCCGAAAGATGGTCATCCAGCCTCCGCTTGAAAACGTCCAGCGAAGGAGCATCCACCACCTCCCGAGGGAGTCTGTTCCACTGCTCAACCACTCTTACAGTTAGGAAGTTCTCCTGATATTTAGCTGGTATCGACTCCCTTGTAATTTCCACCCATTAGATCTAGTCTTGCAGTCTGGAGCAAGAGAGTATTAGTATGTTTGTTTTCCCATGAGAACTCAAAGAGCTTCACCAGCAATCTAGGGTAGTATTATGCCCACATTGCAGATGGAGTAGCTGATGCTTAGAAGAATGGCTGGTTCATGACTGAAGCAAGCTTGAATAGCAAACAAGAAAGTAAGAGCATGTCTGTTGGGTTCTCTGAGTGTTAATGCACTTTGTGTGCATTACAACAACAACCCTGTAGGATAGATCAGTATCTGCTGACATGACATAATGCTGATATGAAGTGGTGATTCAGAAACAGTGGCTTGTTTAAGGCTGCCTGATGAGTTTGTGGCAGAGGCATGGCCTTTCAGGCCACAATAAGTTCCCCCTTCCCACTGTATACTCCCAACTTGTGCCATTCCCGACGGTTCCCTGTCCCCTAGGAGCAGTATTTCAAGCTGCATGGGGTGGGGGAGGCAAGGAAGTACCATTCCGCTGATGGAAACACCGTACCCTGGGATCCAAGCCAAAGTCTGAAACTGGAGACTTCTGAGTCATAATTCAGTCTTGTAGCTGATGTGCTGTGCCAGAGTACTATGGTGACTCTGTTGTGACTGTCACACTTCTGTTGTCCTTTTTTAGAGCCACGAGTAAATCAGCCCCCCGTGGCTATTGTGTCTCCCCCATTCCTGGAGATCTCATTGCCAACCACCTCTACGGTAATTGACGGCAGCCGTAAGTACTCGCCTCAGTCAGCATCATCTATGTTGTGGAGCAGTAGGGAAGACGGATGGGGAAAGGCAGAGCGCCTGTTAAGGAATGGGGTTCTAAAGGACGTTGGCTGATGTTAGGATATTTATTCATTTAAAGCACTTCTTTACTGCTTTTCTATCATACTCTCGAATCAGTTTGTCCTCTGTCATGGCCCTTCTTTCTCACTGAGGTTCAAGGCAGATTACATGATGTAAAACAGTGCAGTCAAACAGCATGAGGGGTCTAAGAAGTGAAACAACAGGACTAGGATTACAAAAATTAGAGAGTTCAAGCTTGTCAAGTGATGTAGAAAATGGAATTACAAAGTAGAAAAGGATGCTGTAAGAGCAGAGAACACACAATAAATGCCTTACCTAGTCTTGTGCCCTTTATAAAAGCCCCTTCCCAACCTCTTCTGTTAGTCTATAGCCCTATTCCCTTTGTAAAAAATACTCTCCTGAGTCATTGTTTTATTTTGTTTGCTGAATGACAAAAGTGTGGCTTCCTAATTACCTCAGGCCTCTGCCAGCCTGCACTTCCAAGTACAGAATATTAATCCAATATTTAGAGGGTTAAAGTTTTTTACAGCCAACATATAAATGCTGCTTTTGAATTTCCCAGGTCTGCTGCATGATGCTGTTCCTCTGTGGCATGTTTTTAATAACTCCTCACGCACTCTTAAATATGAGACTCCTTCTTCCCATTTTTAGCGTTAGAGGGCTTGTGGAAGAAAGATGTGGCTTGGATTCTGTGCTTCTCTCTAGTAAAGTTGGCAAGGTGCATCTTGAAGATTGTGTGTAGTCGTGTGCATGGAAAGCCATGCATTCACAGAATCATTCTGACCACATAAAGCTGCTTTAATGCTGAGTCAGATCCTTGCTCAGACTAGCTCACTGTTCTCTGCTCTCACTGAGGGCTCAGACAAAGAGTTTTTTCCCCGGTCCTGCTCCCTGATCCCCTTTTATCTAGAGTTGCCAGGAATTGAACCTGGTACTTGACAACTGAACTACAACCTCACTCATTTTAATTCAGCAGCCACTTAAATTCAAATTAAAAGTCTCTGTTTCTCACATTATTCGTGACATTAACCATAGATTCTCAATTTAAAAATATTTACTTTTTGCCACTTATCAAAAGTGGACATGCCTGTGTGGCAGCCTTATATTGGTCTGAAGTAGATTTTAAACTCTCATCTGGCTTCCTTATTTGCATTTACTGGGACTGCTTTTGTTCAAAGGAAATCCTAATTAGCTGTTTTAATGCATTAGAAAGCACGGACGATGACCAGATTGTCAGCTACCACTGGGAAGAACTGAAGGGACCTCTGAGGGAAGAGAAGGTATCTGCAGATACTCCTATTCTGAAACTGACCAATTTGGTACCTGGAAACTACACGTTCAGGTAAAGTGCCAGGTGTGGGATTTGCACCCTCTGGTTCACTAGATTCTCAGGTCCAAAACCAGCGCCAAGCCAGACTGCCAGAACCAGTGAATGAAATCAGATTTATTTTGTGTTCTTTGTTCCTGTGTGTAGAAAGGAGAGGCTAAGGGCCAATTCACAGTCTTTTTGTTTATTTTTCTTTAGCACACACAAATGGCTTACTTGTGCTGGGTAATAGTTCTCAAAATAAACTTCAAGTAACTTTTGGGGGCTGTCCTTTGTTTCCTTTGATCAGGGAAGCTGCTGCAGTATTTGTAACCTAGCAAGCTCTTAAGTTAAATAGAACAAACATGTAGACCATGCAAGTGATCGGGTGGGGGGAGAGTGGAAAAATGTAACATAAATTGGCCTTAATTTTTTTCTCTCTGAACATTTTCTTCCTCAGGCTACATCATTTAAAAATGAGATTCGGTATAAAATGCCTATTAAACTGCACCATGGATATCATAAATGGATTACTGGGTGGGGATAAAAGGTTCAAGGGCTAACTGATTATTCTGAAAGTCCTAATGTAGGAACACATTTGTGAATAGCTTGAGATGAGATTCTTTTTTCTTTCATAAAAGGTTCAAGTATGCTAAAGGAGGATTGTTTTGAGTCCTGCAATAATTCAATTTTCTCTGTGTTTAGTTTAGTGTAGCAAGCATCAGTTGGAGTGAGGGTTTATCAGCGCATCTACTGTTTTCTTTGTGGCAGAAATATTCAAATCATGGAGAGGGAAATCCATATCACTGATAGATGTGCCAGTTCAAAAGCTAGTGAAAAAAAATATTTTTTCCAATGTACACTGTGTAGAGCATCACTGGTCAAATGGTATGGTCCTTAGCTTTGTGTTGCACCTTTGAAATGGCTCCTCTGTGGGTTCCTAATCTCAAAAGTTGTTTCCAGGGTTGCTTGGCTAACTGATTTACATAAACCATTTTCGAGACTATTTAGTTCCTTCATTTATACCCCCTTCCCCCCCCCCTCCGGAACCCAGAGCAGCTTACATCATTCTCTTCTTTTTCATTTTATCCTCACAACAGCCATGTGAGGTGGGTTAGGCTGAATATGTGTGACTGGCGACAGCTTCCATGGCAGAGCAGGGATTTGAACCTGGAGTCTTCCAGATCCTAGTCCGACACACTAACTGCAACACCATACTCTTGTTCTAGATCTCCTAGAGAGAGAGGAAGTGGAGCCTCTGTTGTCAGGAAAACAATATGAATCCGTGTTTCAAAGACTTCTTGGTTTGTATTTGCTACGTCTGCCCTGGACTGAGGCTTGCATTTTGGCCGTCTCTATCCCCAGGCATTCTCCATGATGCTCATGTTAAAATGTTTGCTAAAGTTTGCCAGTTGTTTTATGATAAAGGCTTTCGTTTAGTGCTCTGAAAGCCATGTGAAACATGTTACATTCAGCAATGAATGCTGGCTTCAAAACCAGTTGTTCATAACTACAAGCTGCTGTTACACATTTGCAAATAGTTTGATTGTTGCTCCCACTTTGCAGGGAATTTGGTAAATGCACTTAGAAAAGATTCCTTTGGAATTCCGTAAGGCAGAGCTGCCCACACCAGGGGGCTAATGCAGCATATGGAACAGTGGCTTTCATCCCCACAAACATGAACACATGCAGAAAGCATATTGCCTGGCTCAGCAGCAGTAATGGGGAAATGGGAAACACTGCAAATACCACCCATCATCCTGAGTCAGACCCTTGGTCCAGTAGCCTCCCTACTTGCTGCATCTTGCCAAAGTTTCAGAGAAAAATCTTGCTCAGACTTGGTATCAAACGCGAGGATTCAACCTGGGACCTTCTGCCTGCAAATCAGCTTCTCTGCCATGAGCTTTTGGCCTCATGAAGAAGTACTCTCTGTTGCAAAGAGCAACGAATTGGCTGGTTCCGTTCCAAAGTCTTCCTTCCCCTGTGGACTTTATCTAGTGGCTCCAGTTTGCCTCCCTGCCCCCTAGACCTTCCCCATCAGCAGATGGAAGTTAAAGGACTTGACAGTTACTCCATGGCCAACAAACAGCACAGCACAAAGGAGCTAGGAGGGAAGGTGGCTCCTAAGTATTTTAAATAGGTTGTGTTGCTGCTTCTCAGGCAGTTTGTGTAAGACAATGAATAGGAAGTGTGTAATACACAGTTGACCCAGGATCTTCCGGTGGCCACTAGCACAAATAATAATGAAAAGGGGTCAGTCTATTCATGGGGCAGCTCTGTCAGGAATCATCAGTGTCAGAAGACTAGTGTGTCTCTTTGGGCCTGGATTCCAAGAATAACAGGACTGATAATGGCCTACTTAATTTTGTGGATCCACCTAAGGTATCTGACCTGCCCCAGCAGGCAGATGGAGTACTGTTCTAGGTAGACCATTGGTCTAACCCAGTTCTTACAGCACTTCCTACATTCATATCTTGTGACTCTCAGTTCCTGGACATTTCCTCAGAGAAGGCTGGTTCACATGTGCATGTTTATCCCTTGGTAGTGCTGCAGTATCAAGTGGCAATCTGCAAGTGTGCATGCACGGAGAGCATAGAGAGACCACTGAGTGTGTGGAGGCTGTAGGTAGCCATGTTGGTCCACAGAATATCTAAAATCAAAAAAGTTGCATGATACCTTCTATTCGAACTAATGAAAATGTCACACAACAGCATACAAGCTTTTAGATTCTCTAGAACTCATGATCAGTCTCCTTGTGGAAGGAAAGGGGAAGAGAGGTGTTTTTTCAGACCACGTTAAAAGGGCTCTGCCTGCAACTTGTTCAGAATGTGTTGGGAAGTTAGTTAGATTAAATGGTGCTGGGTGCACCTGATTTGAAGTAGTCAACTCATGAATTAATTCTTGACCCAGGAAGGATGGCAGATCATTAGATTTGCTTTCATGAATAGGAATAGCATCTGTAACAATATCTGGCCCTGACATCTTTATTTATAATTAAAGTCATTTCTGAATAGAGTTTTATAAACACATTGTATGTTTTCAGTGTTTTGGTGTTTGTGTATGTTTTCACCTGGGTCTTCCAGGCTTCACTCTTCCTCCCTCCACTATTTATTTCACAACAGGCTGGTTTTTATCCTTGACTTTCCCCCTATATGAACCCTCAGAGATTCAGACTTCTACACAGTTCTCTGCCATTCAAGCTGAGATCCAGCCAGTTTATCTCCTTGATTTCTTCACTCCTGGACTTTAAATTTCCTCTTTCTTTAGCCTCACTGTGGTGGACTCAGATGGTGCCAGCAACTCCACCACCGCCAGCCTGACTGTAAACAAAGCTGTGGATTACCCACCGACGGCAAATGCAGGTCCTAACCAAGTGATCACTTTGCCACAAAACTCCATCACCCTTTATGGGAACCAGAGCACAGATGACCATGGCATTGTCAGCTACGAATGGTCCCTGAGCCCCAACAGCAAAGGAAAAGTAGTGGAGATGCAGGTGAGAAGGTTGGGCATTTGAATTTTGTCCACGATGTTTCTGTAAACAGTGCCCCAATATGCTTAGATCATATTCATATAAAACATTATTCTAATCCCTGAAAACCTCAAAGTTCCAACTGCACCCAGTGTTTCCTTGTTCAACTTTTTGAAATACAAATATATTCTTAATTTCTGATAATTTCTTAATGGGTTGGATGGCTGAATTTGGTGGCTGGCTTGACAGCTAAAGCTGTAATGCTATCCTAGGTAGAGTTACTTCAGGCTAAATCCATTGAAACCAGTATCCTTAGACTGGAATTGTTCTGCATAGGATTACATAGTGTACTGTATGAATCTGGGTATGTGCTCCTGTGTGTGTCATTTATCAAGTGCCATAGATTTCCAGTGCTAAGACCAAGATTCAAGTCCAGTAGCACCAGGGTAGTTCCAGGGTATAATCTTTCAAGAGTCAAAGTTCCCTTTGTCAGATACAAATAAGGGCTACCTGAAACTGTAGGTTATCAGTGTTACCCTTACAGCTCATTTCTGATCATTCTGACTCATCCAAACCCTCAAGAATGTTTTAACTTTTATTCCCCCCCCCCCCGCAATATTTTGAAATATTCCTAACATTTGTTTAGGTGTTTTCTATTTTTTTGCTTTCAAAGTAATCCTGGGAAACAAGAAGGCAGAATCCTCCTGGGGTAGAAAGTCTGTAGAATGGACTCCCTGAAAGGGGGGGGGGGCTCCTTGTAAATTTTCAGGAGGCACTGCCAGGCCTGCCTGTTTGCCAGGGCATTTGAGAGGGTTTGAACAGCAGGCATCTTTTAAGGGGGGGAAGACTTGGGGTTTGCTATTTTATTCAAGTTTGATTGGAAATGTTAACCATTATTGTAAGCCACCTTGAACCAAGAGGAAAGGTGGGATATAATAAATAAAGCACCGTAAACTACTGTTGGCGCACACAAATTCCAGAACACAAAACAAAATCCATGTAATATCCTTGTTAGGTCTGACCAAAATGACACAATGGTATTTTTCATCAGGCCAGAGGTTATAATTCTTTTAAACAAAATGGAAAGAGGAAAAAAGCAGATTTTTTGAGGTTCAGACCTTAAGGCCTGATCTTGTCAGCATTTGGTGTTAGGTGCTGACTGGCATGTGATTATTATTGCTGCAGGTGTTCAGTTAACAGCATTTGGATTCTGGGAAGAAGGAGCCAGCAGTGAAGAGCTGTCTCAGTTGAAAAAACAGAGTCCAGCAAAGTCCCACTTTTCTGTGAGACAAATAAGCTCTTAAACCAGTTCACACAGCAGTTGATTTGCAGGTCTTTACAACTCCAGAGTTCTCCACTGCAGCGGAAGTATGGCCATTCCTCCGGAAGCTGAAGTGTACTAACATTACCATCACTCAGACACTCAGTAGGAATTTCATTGGGTAGAGAAAGAATTTGGAGGAAGTTCAAAGGCTGGAGATGGAGAATTGTCAATTCTCTGGCAGGCTGAAAGAAATTTGAAAGAGGGATCGCTGTTTGTGATGTAATCACTCATCCTACTTTCAACCTGTGGTAAACAACCGGCAGGCTTTTATATTTTTTTTGGGGGGGGGTGTTTTGCAGCTGAATCCCCCCCCCCCCCCCCCAGTTTTCAAACATTTTATTAAGATTTTGTTGTTAACATACAAGGCTTTTATAGTGTGAAGAAGAAGAAGAGATTGGATTTATACCCCGCCCTTCACTTGGAGTCTCAGAGCGGCTTAGAAAACTCCTTTCCCTTCCCCTCCCCACAACAGACACCATGTGAGGTGGGTGGGGCTGAGAGAACTCTGACACAAACTGCTCTTTTTCAAGGACAGCTGTGCCAGAGCTTGTGACTGACCCAAGGTCACATCAGCAGGTGCAAGTGGAGGAGTGGGGAATCAAACCCGGTCATACTTTTTTGACCAAGACAAAAAACTTGTCATACTTTTTTGACCAAGACAGTAGTGGGACAAGTGATAGGGGTTGTTTGTGTATGTGAGCATATGTGTGCACACCAGGAGAAGCAGAACCTTTCTCAGAACACTTTCAGCTCTTAAAAATATTCTCTCTGTTCCTTTTAATTAAATCTGAAGATTTTCGAGTTGAAACTTGTTGGGCTCGTTATGACTTCCATTCCAATGTTGTTGTTTTCCCCTCAGCACCAGTTTGAGGCTTTCTTGTTCTTTTACTTATCTTCCATTTTTGGTAATTTCCCCCTGTCCAATCCTACCGCCTTACCCCTATATCACTCTGTCCGTAGTTAAGAAATCCCATTTTCTCATTTTGCTGTCTATATCTAATTTCTTATCCAAGATTTTTCCGAGTCAAAAGCAGGCTCACAAATGGGAGCTCTGAGAACTTTGCCTTCCTATAAGCACATTCCTTGCCTTCAGGATAAAGCGGGTGACTGCGTTTCTTTGAAGTGAGGTCTTTGGGTTAATCCTGAACATCCAAGGCAAACGGTCTGAATAGGTGATAAACTCTCTTGTTCACTGTTGTATCAAATGGCATTTATTGTCTGCCTTGACCTAGAATGTCAGTCTGAGATGCTCAATAATATCTGCATGACCTGGGCAGTCTGCTACCTGTCTCCTCGTTCTTCCCTGTCTTTGCAAAGTAGAGAATGTAATTCTTGGATTTGTGGACTTGTTTCCAAGGGAGTGAGGACATCGACTTTGCAGCTCTCTGCAATGCGTGAAGGTGACTACACCTACCAGCTGATGGTGACAGATTCTGCTGGCCACCAGTCCACTGCCGAGGTGACTGTGATCGTGCAGCCTGGTAAGCTTAACTAGGAGGGCAATATCCTGCTACTCTGTGCATAGAATGCCACTCCCTCTGTTTTTGCAGCCCCTTCCAAGCCCTGTAAAGATAGCTCCTGGGGTTGGGGGGCTGCACAGAGGAACAGCGAGGCAGCATTGGGCTGGAGAGACAGAGGAGGAGGACGGAGGTAAAATTGCTTCCCCTTCCACAAGCACTGCTCTATCAAGGAAAGCCTTGATTTCATTCCCTCTTTCCTCCTCAGTCCTGCCCACCAGCACTTGCAGCTGTTCTCTTCACAGATCCTGCAATGCCAGTAATGGTCATTCTAGGGACTGGAATGAGCTGCAGGAAAGGAGAAGAATGTGGGAAAATAAAATATTCTATGCATAGAGTAGTTGTTTACTGTCCATTGTATATAATGCTCTCAAGTTTTGAATTTGTTCTACAAATTCTTCATTGTCTAGGCCAGGGCAGGATAAAGAGGCTGGCGGTGCAATCTTAAAACCAGTTTCTTGGGAGTAAGCCCCATTAAATCAAATGAGACAGTTCAAAGACTTGCTTAGATTGCTTCGTGTGTGTAGGGCAATTGAATTTCATATGAACATTGAATAAGTTGTTTGTTTACTTCATTTATGCTCTTTTTCCTCCCCATTGAGAACCCAAAGTGGCTTATATCATTCTCCTCACCTCCTTTTTATCCTCACAACAATCAGTGGGCCTTCATTGGGCCACATGGGAAGGTCCAAGTTATGTAAATAAAACAAAAATGCTTGAAAGCATTTCTAGATTTAAAAAGAATCTACAAGAGATCTCTCTCTTTTTACTGTCCCCCACCCAACATTTTCTAGTAGTTAAACCCTTACGGGCAGACTTTCAGTCTAAACCAGAGACAGGAAAAATGACCACTCATTCCCAATTATTTTATTTTTTATTTGACTTAATTTCTCTCCCATCTTTTCCCCCAATGGGGATGCAAAGTGGATTACATCATTCTCCTCTCCTCTGTTTTGTCCTCAGAGTGATCCTGCAGGATAAGTTAGGCGGAGAATGTGTGACTGGCCCAAGGTCACCCACTGAGCTTCCATGGCATCGTGGGGATTCTAACGTGGGTCTCCCAGATCCTAGTCCGACACTCAAACCACTGCACCACACTGGCTCTCAACTGTATATTTGAAAGCCAAAATGTTTAGATCCGATTATGTCATGTCCCAGTCAATGTTCCCTCTAAGCTGCGGAGTCTTGTGAGCAAAAATTCTACTTCGTGAGCTACTGGCATTAAAGTTGTGACCGAGCGATTTGGCTCCTGCATAAATTAGTTTGCTCTGGAGCCATCCTTCCTGAGCCAAGACAAAAATGTGTGAGCAGGAGGCAAAAAACTGAGCTAGCTCACACTAACTCAGCTTAGAGGGAACACTGGTCCCAGTGCACTTTGTTGGACTATTTGGCCATAATCCAACATGCTTTTTTAACCACGTTTGGTAAGTTGTGTGCACACCATCCAGCCAAAGATGAGCCCATGTACATCCCATTGATTTCAACTGGAAAGAGTTAAAATCGGCTGTTTAACTCTGCCATTCATGCCAGTGGGAAAGGTTTGCAGTTTTGATTATTATTATTTTTAGATCAGTTTTATCCAAGATGACAGTCCTTCCTTACCTGCATTACAAAATAAATTCCTTCAGTTTCAGAAGAAGCTTACTGTGCACAGTAACAATCAGGAAAAAGAATATTCAAAAGCCCTGCTGCATATACAGAAGTGTGTTCTTTGAATGGACTGAGGTTGCTTCACATAAATGCCCTCAGCTTTCTATATTCATCATCTGCTGCCTGCCCATTTTTTTTCAGGTACTCATTATTGAGCCGTTCCAGAATCAAAGGGTCTGCACTTTTGGGTCTGTTTCAGAGAACCACATTTCTTAACAGTGATTGAGAGATCAGGAGGAAGCCACGGCTCAGGGGCTGCTTTCCTTACAGTCCTTACCTTCAACCTTCACCATAGTCAAGGCCAGCCAGATCCCCATTTTGCCCAGAATTTGGAACTGGGAAGGAGTGTGCAATTCTGGACCCACTTCCAAATCATTGGTTAAGAAACTGGTCTGCACAGACTTGTTTTATTTTACTGTTTGTTTACAAAGGACCCATAGTGAGACTTTTGTACGTAGAAGGTCCCTGGTGGCAGGTGATGAAGAAGAACTTATTTTTATCTGAGATCCTGGCAAGGCACAGCTGGTCCATAGTCAGCTAGAACTAAGTTAGATGGAACAGTGTTCTGGGAACACAAGGCCACTTTGCGTGAATTCTCCTTGTTTGGTTCCTTCCCCGTGTCTGCCTTTACTCTCATCTCGTTTTGTGACTTTTTGCCCAGAAAACAACAAACCTCCTGAGGCAGATGCGGGTCCAGACAAAGAGCTGACCCTCCCAGTGGACAGCACCACTCTAGATGGCAGCAAGAGCTCAGATGACCAGAAGATAGTCTCTTACCTTTGGGAAAAAACCAGGTAGGCATCTTTCTTACATACACACTTGTGCACGTGCCTGATGTTGCACACTAAAAAGAGGAGGAACCCTACAACCCATTCTCCGCCACCTGTCAGTCAGTCAGTCATACCTTTTATTGGCATACTGTCCACCACCTCCAAAACATGCACATCTGCACAGGCTGCAAAAATTAGGTTTGCCTTAAGCAGGGCCTGCCCAACCCAATAGGCAACGCATGTGGCAGAATTACAGGGGCTCCAGCTGAGTTGGGGAAATTTTCTAAAGAAAACATTCTGGGGCTTGGTCTGAACTGAGGGAACAGTTCTGTTTCTCTCTTTTTCCCTTCCCTCCCACCCACCCCCCAGAGTTTTCAGTGTTACATCCTAATTTATCTCATGTTCCAAACAAAGGTATGGGCCTTTTACATTATGTGGAAGTATGTGGAAGGAGCTGCGGTGGCTCAAGTGGCTAAGACGCTGAACTGCAGGCTGTGGAAGGTCAGTAGTTCAGCAGTTCGAGACCCGGGTTGCCGCATGACGGAGTGAGCTCCCATCTCTAGTTCCAGCTCCTGCCAACCAACAGTTTGAAAGCAAGAAATTGCAAGTAGATAAATAGGCACCACTCCGGTGGGAAGGTAACAGCGTTCCGTGCGCCTTGGCGTTTAGTCATGCCGGCCACATGACCACGGAAACGTCTTCGGACAGCGCTGGCTCTTTGACTTTGAAACGGAGATGAGCACCGTAACCCTAGAGTCGAACTCGACTGGCTTTCGAGCAAGGGAACCTTTACCTTTTTATGTGGAAGTCTGGCATCTTGTGAGAATGTAAGAGCACCAAGAGAACAACCACCACCACCACCATCCCACTGCCTCTTTTCTCCGGGCTAGAGTTTCTGTGATGTACCATCCAGGCTAAACCTTTTGAGTTTTGACCAGGGGCCCAGATGGCGTGAAACTGGAGAATGCCAACAGCAGCATCACCACAGTAACTGGGCTGGAGGTCGGAACGTATGAATTCACATTGACGGTCAAAGACGAGCGGAACTTGCAGAGCCAGAGTTCGGTGATGGTCATTGTCAAGGAAGGTGTGTAGCTGGAGAGTGCAGAGGCATTTTGGGGGGTGGCCTTTTGTGAAGGCTGGGCTTCACAAAATTGACTGAGATGGTCAACTTGTGTGTCTGGGCTGTACTGCTTTGCAGGCATACCTCACATGCGTGAATACTGTTACATGCAGAAACTCCCCTGCAAATGAAGCTTAGAGGGCAGGGAGAATGGTTCTAGCCATTGTCAGAATTGATCACGTAATTAATCCTTGGTTAAGTTTTCATTTGTGACATCTGCTTGAAAGCTGTTAACGTTTTCAGATAGCTTGGCTGGTCTTGTGCTACAGAGGTCATGGTGGAGGACAGAACCAGGTCTTACATCTCACACTGTCCCCCAGCTGGCAAACAATGTGGCCAATGGTCATGGGCAAACCACTTCTGCTGCTTTACTATTCTAACTTCCAACTTTGTTCTCCTTTTTGTTCAGAGATGAACAAGCCCCCCATTGCAAAAATTGCTGGGAACATTGTCATCACCCTTCCAGGAAACACAGCTGAGCTCGATGGGTCGAGATCCACAGATGACAAGGGAATCATCAGTTTTCTGTGGACTCGGGATGAAAGCAGCCCTGCGGCTGGGGTGGGTAATGTGAAATGGTGTCCCTTTGTATTCTGTAGTGTTGACATATCTGCAGAAGATCTGTCATGGCTTAGCTGAAGGTCAGAGAATATACCTAGCTTGTGCTTAGCTCATAGAGAAATACAGTCCTATGCACTAGAATTGTTCTTCAGAACCTGGCAAAAACTTTCTATAACCTGTTCCACAGAGGAGCCCCATAACGGCAGCTGTACCTCGTGTTATATGTTTGGTATGATTTGTATAATCTTTAAAACTGTCCCTCTTGCCTCTTGAAGTGTTCCTGGTTTTTTATCCTGTTTGCAGTTATGTCAGATGACCATATCTCTTTGTACTTATTTTTTTAAATCTAAGTTCTGAATGAAGGCTACCAATCCCCCAACATCAAAAGCTGAATTTTGCTCCGATCCCGAGGTTGAGAGGCCAGTCATTCATTCTTTACAAGTCCTGGCTACAAGAAAGGGCACCTAGATGGGAAGCCGTAAGGGAAGCTTGCTGTCCAGATCATGGGAAGTATTCTGCACTGCTCAGGCCCCATCTGGAGTTCTGTGTCCGATTCTGAGCACCACATTTTAAGAAGGTGGTTGGCAAACGTGAAGCATGTCCAGAGGAGGGTGACCACGATGGTGAGGGATCTGAAAGCTGAAGCCCCATGAAGACTGAAAGAGCTGGGCATGTTTCGCTTGGACAACGAGAAGGTTAAGGGCTGCCACGACTGCTGCCTTCAAAGATCTGAAGGGTTGTCAGGCAGAAGGACCTAGACTTTTTTCCTTACTCTAGAGCAGTGGTGGCGAATCTATGGCACGGGTGCCAGAGGTGGCACTCAGAGCCCTCTCTGTGGGCACGCGTGCCATCGCCCCAGCCAGGCCCAGACCATCATTAAAGTGTCGAATTCTCTGCCAAATAATTTTAAGTAAATGAAAGCATTTGGGATTGCTTTCCTTACTTTGCTTGGATCATCTTAAGTTAATGTGTGAGTTGTTTTTTCTAAAGTAAAACCTCAGTATTCAGGTTAAATTGCCGTGTTGGCACTTTGTGATAAATAAGTGGGTTTTGGGTCGCAGTTTGGGCACTCGGTCTCTAAAAGGTTCGCCATCACTGCTCTAAGAGGGTAGGACTAGGACTAATGGGTGAAAATTAAAAGGAAGTAGGTTTTATGAGACCTTTTTGCCCTAATACCTGTTTAGCATTGGAACAGATTTCCCTGCGGAGATGGCGGACTCTTTCACAGAAGGTTGTTATGGGGGGGGGGGGTCCTTTCCTTGCTGGGAAACTCCCTTAGACCAAGGGTTCCCTGGAAAGCACCCTGGTAACCAGTCACCATGATTCAGGTATCTCATGAGAACATCTAGACTAACCCACTGAGAAGGTATCCTTGTAGAGCAGTACTAGACCAGTAATGAAGTAACAGGGTAGAAACCTTGGAAAATACCTAATAACAAACTACATATCACCCGTGCAATCTAGCATGTAGGGAAGAGATTAAGAGAAATATCCCAGAAAAATAGATTGTACTAAATGAAGCAAAAATAACTTTATAAAAGGGGGGGGGAAAGGGTGGCTGCATTGAAAAAAGAGATGGGAGAAGGGCAAAACAAAAGTATAATGAAAAGGTACACAGTAGCCAGGCACATAGTCTTTAAATAAAGAGTAATAGTTGATCTAATTCAGCTATGTATGTTACCTAGGCGGTAGCAGGTTCTTCAGAGCATGTACAGAGTTTCTTGCAGTAACAAGATGTTGGAGGAGTCTTTAACCCCTACCCAACCTCTGGGGCCCCCCAGTTTCTTGTAATGACAAAGGAAAATCCCAAATGTCCAAATATTTATGGTCACTGGAATTAGACCTAAGCCAGACTCCTCTCTAAGAGTGACACGTTGATTTAGCCCATCCCATGCAAATCTCCATCTCTGATGTCAGAGGCTACTGTTAGCAATCGGAAAGTTATTTAAAATGATAGTCCCACCCCTCAAGCATCTGATAATGGCTGTGGATTTTCATGATAAATAGGTGGTCTGGTCCCAACCACCTTGTCCTTTGTCTAAAAGTTATTATGTTTGGCAGGATGGCCCAATGTCAAATGGAAATAAATGTGTTATTCTAATGTAGACCCCCCTGCATCCAAGATCCCAGATGTTCTAGGTGGCACTCTAGAGCCCTAATAAGGCTTTAGGGTTTCTGTTACAGAGGTCTTTAAACAGAGGTTGGACTGATGGCCAGCCTTCTGTTGGACAGGTTTTTGATGCACTTCTAGATTCTTTCCAGAAATCATGAAAGACAACCCTGCTTCCAGCTCTCCTCTCTACGAAGGATTTTCAACGGATATCAATGAGGTTGCATGGGAAGTGCTTCTGGGTATTGCATCTGTTCCTGTCTGGGGAGAGGGAACTCCCTGGGCTGGCATTCTATATTATGTGCATTCTATACTATATTGCACTGGGATGAAAAATATGCTGCCTTTGTATATCTTTTAACACACATGGGCACCCTTTTTGTTAAATACAGGAGGTGTTAAATAATTCAGATCATCACCCGGTGCTTTTCCTCTCCAACCTGGTGGAAGGGACGTACATGTTTCATCTTAAAGTTACAGATGCCAAAGGAGAAAGTGACACAGACAGAGCCACCGTAGAAGTGAAGCCTGGTGAGGATCTCACTCTGAGGGAAGTGCAGCTGCTCATCTACTTCTCAGCCTTTATCTATGTGATCGTTATAACAAGAGGGCCAGAGTCATGACCCCCATATTATGACCACCATATTGCAGATAGGAAGGCTGAGGATGAAAAACAGTGGTGTGTCTTAGGCTACCTAATATGGGGATATTTGGACTAGGGACTTCCCAGCTCACAGTGTTTGCCACTGCACCTAACCAGCTGTCCAGGCTTAAGGCTCTGTATTGGTCTGGTTATATGTAACCCAAGTGACTCATAGTCCAGTCCTATGCATGCTTACTCAGGAGTAAGTCCCACTGCATTCACTGATGCTTACTTCCAGCACACAGTACATGAGCGAAACCCCATGTGTGTTCACAGTCAGCTGTTTGTTTACTTCAAAAGCTTGAGTGGCCAGGTACAAGGCAGGCAGTGTGTTCATGGGCAAAGAAGGTCACATCCAATAAGCTATCAGTAGGGGCAGAGGCAGGAAGTGTAATATGTAATTAAAGGGCATTCCTTGTTTCTGACCATTCCTACTGCAATCGCTGCATGTTCCAGATCCAAGGAAAAACAACCTCGTGGAGATAATCCTTGATGTGAATGTCAGCCAGCTGACAGAACGGCAGAAGGGTATGTTCATCCGTCAGATAGGTGTTCTGCTGGGCGTCTTGGATTCGGACATCACTGTGCAGAAGATTCAGCCCTATACTGAGCAGAGGTAGGAAGCCATGGGGGGAGAAGCTTTCGCCCTCTCTTTGAATTTTGTTGTCTTAGTCGCAATCCAGGAAGGCATCATCAGCTGTTTTTTTTTAAGGAGATGGAAAAAATACTGATAACAGGCAGGTCAGTATCATTATCCCCATATTGCAGATAGGAAAGCTGAGGCTGAAAAGCAGCAGCTTGCCTGAGGCAAGATTTGAATCGGTGACAGACCTCAGCCACTATATCCCACCAGCTCTCCCAAGTTTTTTAAGGCTCTGCGTAGGTCTGGCAATGCAATCAAGTGACTTGAAGTTCATCATAAGTGAAGGATAAAGAGCTGAATCTGGAAACCAGTACTGATGTTCTTAATTTGCTGAATATCCTTCTCCAAAGCTTGGCTTCTAAGCCCCACCTGGTATGCAAATAAATCCTTTGAAAAGGATAGCCCAGGCTAGGCTAGTCTCACCAGATCTTGGAAGCTTGGATGGGAGACCACTAAGGAAATCCAGGGTGACTACGCAGGGGCCAGCAACGGCAACCCACCCTTTTTGCCTCTTGCCTTGAAAATCCTCCGGGGTTCCCGTAAGTCAGCTGTGAGTCGAGGGCACTTCCCACCACCAAAGAACAGCCACACATTGGGGTTGGAGATAGAAGGTCACCCAGTCTTCCTTGATGTTACTACTACTTTTGCCAGTCTGTTCCAGGTTCCCCCAAAGTGACCTTTTTGTTATATGGCGAGATGAGCTTTGACTCATGGAAGCTTATACCCTGGGAAATTGTGCTATTCTTTAAGGTTCTGCTGGACACAAATTTTGTAGTTTCTGGTGCACTAATGTGAAGGTCATTTTTCAATGGCCTGAAAGAAACTTTTCCCTGAAAGGCTTCAGCTGAGAAATGCAGGTGTTTAGTTCTAGTGTTGTCATCTCTCTCCTACCATCCTAAGGCCTTGTCTAAGGCCAGTCATTTACTGATCTTTCCCCAAGTGGAAGAGGAAGAAGTTTGCTTCTGATCAATATAGACTTGGCTGCAGGAAGGAAAGCATTAAGTAAATGGGTCACAGTTACATTTTTTCCCCTGTTCAGTGGTCGGTCGGTCGGTCTCTCCCTCCCTCCCTCCCTCCGTCTGTCTGTCTGTAGTTTTTCCCTTGCCAAGAAGACATCATGGAGTTTTGCAAAACTTGTCTTTGTGACTGCTTGTTTGGATCACTGGTTAAAAAGGGGGGGAGGAGACTTAACACTCATTGTCCTTATAAGCAGAGCTATGCACTTTCCACCCTGGAAAAAAAATCTGAAGTCTGCAATGTAAATAAATCATGCAAATGGAGCAGATGTGCATGTGCACAGCCCCTTGTTTTTGCATAATTATTTGGCTTCCAGATTTAACTTCTTGTTTATTGGCAAAAAGGTGGGGAATTAATGGAAAGGAGGAGGGGGCAGAGCAGGGGACAAGAAATGCTTTGCAGGTTGCTGAAGATTTTGTATTACGGGAGCCTTTCTTTTGTCCTTCCTTCACCCTGCAGCAGTAATTCAGGCCAGCCACCTTTTGTTTTGCTCCCTGTGTATCCAGTTTTCTTGTTCATTGCAGCACCAAGATGGTATTCTATGTGAAGAACCAGCCTCCTCGCCAGATCTTCAAAGGGCATGATGTTGCGTCGACTCTCCGGAATGAACTGCGGAAGCAACAGTCGGACTTCCTCATTTTCAGAGCACTGGAGATCAACACAGTCAGTAAGTTGAGGGAATGGCTAGGGTGGCTGCCTTTACCACATAGAGAAAAAGAAGAGATTGGATTTATACCCCGCACTTCACTACCCAATGGAGTCTCAGAGCGGCTTACAAACTCCTTTCCCTTCCCCTCCCTACAACAGACACCCTGTGAGGTGGGTGGGGCTGAGAGAGCTCTGACAGAAACTGCTCTTTTTCAAGAACAGCTCTTATCAGAACTACGGCTTTCCCAAGGTCATCCAGCCAAGTGGGGAATCAAACCCGGTTCTCCCAGATTAGAGTCCGCCCACTTAACCACGACACCAAACTGGCTCTCTACATACTATCACCACATCCCATTTCCTTCCAATGAGAGCCCTTCTGTTGCTACCTCCAAGCAGAAGGGCTCTCTCCTGTGCAGCCCTTGAATGAATTCTCAAGAGACTGATTTAGGTGTATTCTGTTCTCAGCTGTTCTAACAAAAGCACTTGAGCTGATGGTGGTTTCCCCCCCAATGTTGATAGAAGTAATATTGTCTGTAGCGTACATAATTTTCGCACTTTCCTCTGTTAGCAGTTTTGAAACCTTTGCAGTGCTTCAAACAATGGTTAGACCAGGGATAGCACTGGGACAAATGCCTAATTCTTACTGAGACAGTCAGCCTGTATCTGAGCTGTACCATTTCAGACAATGAGGGGAGGGAGTCTCACAAAACGGAATATTCTTCCATATTAAAAAAAGAATCATGCCCATAAAAAGGTAGTATGCCAGAGAGAAAACCAGGGTAGCTAGTGTTCTGTGGACAGATAATTTTTTTCCATTGAAGAATATTCTATCATTTGATCCCCTACTTGCAGCCTTGGGAGTCCAGGTGCAGGTTCACCACCCCAGTGAAACTGAAAGTAAAAGATCCGAGTGTGTGTATGCAACTGGGCAGCAATGGCTTTGCCATGCTGTTAGCTCCATTCATTGTCCCTGCGCAGGCAGACCATTTCAGCTGATCAGAGCATTTTGTATCCATCAATGCACCTCCTCCAGCAATAAGAGATTTCTGTTTGTGGAAGAGGGGGCAAATGCTGGTTTCACCCTTCCCATTGCAAATCTCTTTGCCACTGATGCTTTTCCTGAGAGTCTTCCGGGAACAAAGGTTTTTTTTGGGGGGGGGGGTTGTAACAGGAGAGGGAAATGGGAAGGTGCCACTCTGCAAAATCCTTGGATGATTGGATACATGCCTCTATCTCAGTAATCATTACAGTAGTCCTGCATGCTAGACCAGAGTTCCTATCCCCGTATTTGTGGAGTGTGGCTGAAGAGTTAGAGGTCTGTCCAAGGGCATCTGAGGGAGTTTGTGCTGGTGGTGAAATTTGGACTGGACGCTCCCCAGTCCACCCTTGTAAGTCTGTCTACTGTATTTTGTGCCACCCATCCTCCAAGAGGATCTGGGTTAGCATGCACGGTCCTTCTAACCTCTGTTTTATTTTATCAGCAATCCTGTGAGTTAAGTGGAGGGGGGGGGCTGGCTCAAGGTCAGCCACTTGGCTTAACAGCAGACGGAGGTTTTGAACCTGGATCTTCCCAGTCCTTGCCTGACACACTGCTACTCTGCCATGTCTCCTGATTGTAAGAGAGCAGCCGGCTGGGTTGGTTTCTTTGCATGGGAGTGAGAAATGTGACACATCTCAATTTGTAGGCAAAACCTGCTGACCTGCAAACTTCTGAGCTGAATGATTGACTAACCAATAACTTTTTGAACTACCCTGCAAATGATCAGCAAGTGTGTCCTTTACGTATGCCCATGGCAGTGGGAAGAAGTGAGGTTTAAGCTCTGCTCTCTCGAGGCTCTGAAGCAAGCAGGCCTTCCTTTTAATACCCAACCCCATCTGTTTGACTATGCCACTTGGGTGCTCAGGTTTGCTCGTGACAGTTGACTCTGCTGCCTTCTTCCCCAGCATGCCAGCTGAACTGTTCAGAACATGGGCACTGTGACTCCTTCACCAAGCGCTGTGTCTGTGACCCTTTCTGGATGGAGAACTTTATCAAAGTTCAGATCAGCGATGGGGAGAGCAACTGTGGTACGTATGCTCAAGTCTGTGTGCCCTTCTTAGGGCTACAAATTAAGCCATGCAACTGCATCCTGCAAAGAGCTTTTTGTTAAGAGCATGGTCTGAGTCTGTTCCCATCTCTGGCTTCTGTAGCATTATGGAGAAGGAACCACAATTAGGGGAGGGTGTTGGGGAAGCACTTTGCTTGTAGTATTCCTGACACTCAGATCACATTCCCATCTTTCTGCCAGACTGGAGCGTGCTGTACGTTGTCATCGCCTCCTTCGTCATTGTGGTCTCCTTTGGGATCTTCTCCTGGGCTGTCGTCTGCTGCTGCAAGAAGTGAGTGATGATGCAAGCCCCTCTGAAGGCACTTCTTTGCAAGTCCATTTGCAGATTTTGGCACCGCTTTCTCCAGCTTCAAATCCTGCCTTAGTGTTTCTAGTGAGATCAAACTTTTTTGGCGTCTTGACTACATCTTGCATTCAGACATGCATAACAGGGCCCTGGTATCGTTTTATAACAAGAAAAACAGCTTCAAGACATAGTTTCAGAGGGTGGCTGTGTTGGTCTGACAAAGGAAGCTTTGACTCTCGAATAGGAGTGTGCAATTTTTTCTCTCTGTATTTTTTGGTTCAGGTCAGTGTTCCCTCTAAGCTGTCAGCTGTTGTGAGCAGAAATCCTACCTTGTGAGCCAAAAAAATCTACAAGCATAAAAGTTGTGAGCACACCTATTTTTTAAAAAAAAAATAACTTCAAGGTTAGAAACATACAAACATGAAAAAAGGGAAAGTTTTTGAAAAGGGAAAGGAAGAAAGGAAGGAAGGAAGAAAGGAAGGAAGGAAGGAAGGAAGGAAGGAAGGAAGGAAAAGAAAGAATGGAGAGAAACGGAAAGAAAGAATGAGAGAAAGAAAAAGAAAGAAAGAATGGAAAGAAAGAGAAAGAAATTGAAAGAAGTGGGAAGAAATTGAAAGAAAGGGAGAAAGAAAGGGAAAGAAGGAAAACAAAGAAAGGGGAAAATGGAAAGGGGAAGAAAGAAATAGAAATGAAGCAAATAGATGGGGAGAGAGGAAGGAAGGCAGGCAGGGGTGAAAAGAAGAAGAAAAAGGAAAGAAAGAGAGGCCCCCTCTACTGGAGGGCTGAAATGGCTTCCTGCCCTTTAAAGCCAGCAGATGACAGGCAGATTCGCAAGATGGGGCAACCATTCAGGGCTCCCTTTCCCTTTCCCTACTTTCAAACTGAGGGAAGCGAAAATGGAGCTCTTTGCTTCCCACCTTTTAAAGCCAGCAGCCGGAGGGTCCACGTGCCAGCTGCTGGCTTAAAATGGCACACAACCGTTTCAGGACTCCGTTTCACTTCCCCCGCTTCTAAATGGGGGGGGGGAGCCTTGAAGGGGTTCCCGCCCTTTAAAGCCAGCAGCCAGCAGGTGGACCTGCTGGCTTTAAAGGGCACTCAGCCATTTCAGGGCTCCATTTTGTTCCCCCCCCCCCCAAGCAGGGGGCAGTGGAAGGGAGCCCTGTCAGCTATTCTCTTTAAATGGCTGGCAGCTCCTCCTCCCTGGGGGAGGAGACCTCATTTGGTGTGTGGGGAGGGGGGGAGGCTTGGCTTTTTTGCCTCTCCCCCACACTTGAGGTAGCCGGGCAGGAGTGGGGTGACAGTGAGTTTCCTGGCCATACAACAGCTGGGATATAGTTTTAGCCTGAAAGAGCTTAAGTGCCGCAGGGATGTATTGCCCTCCTTTTAGGTGGAAATATTTTTAAATGGGTAGCTGGCCTGAGCTGGGTTTTTTCCAGTATTGACCATAAAATCATGATGCGCTTTCCTACTCCCTGACGAGTGTAACATCAACCCTAAATACCTAAAGCTTTCTACCTGTTCCACCCTGTGGCCCTGTGACCAGCTGCTTATTTATCATCATTGGAGATACCATCTCATCGCAGGACTTTCTCCCAAGCTTGTTGGAGAGCACTCCCCTTCGCAGTGGTCGAGGGGAGATATAGAAAGGCCCCCCTGCATGAGAGGGTTTGCCCCTGCGGAGCTGGTATGGTTGAATCTATAGAACATGCCTTGTATCAGTGTGATTTCTACCAAGACATTCGTGCAAACTGCATCCTTCCTTTCCTTAGAAAGCCACCGGACTGCCCTGCTCCTGAGATTACTAGGAAGCTCCTTACCGATGCAAATCCACAAACCACAGCTTCTTGGCGCAAGGTTTTTTGCAGGTGCCAGCAAAATTCGTAAAGTTATTTTAAGCAGTGGTTCTTAAATTTAATATAATATTTATTTAAATCTATGGTATCTTTTATCAAATTTAAATTAAATATTTTATTATATGTATATTCTTTTATGTATATGATTTATGCTGGTCTTTGACCGTATTAATCTGAATCTGAAGTTTCTTGGCCCTGCACAGAGCTGCAGATCTGTGAGCTGGGGGCTGGGAATTTGTGCGCCAGCTCAGCCTGGCACAGCTTAAACGGAACACTGGTTCAGTTGTATTGGACCCCCAAACATTTCAGAACTCCTGAAAAATCCCAGATCCCATTACCAGTAAAGTATTCAGATCCGGGATTTTTTGGGATTTTTGGTCCATTAGACGCGAGAAGAAGAAAAAAGAGAGAGAGAAACCCAACTCACTTCTCAGCTGTTTTTCAGGCTTTGCCAATCTTCACAAATATATCTGGGAAATTTTTGGGATTTCCCCCTCAGTTTTCCCAAAAAATCCCAGATACCTTTGGGATGCTGAAATATACCTGAAAAATACCAATGAGGTATTTTTCAGAATTTTTTTTGCTCGGTAAGATCTGAAAGCACACCCCTATTGATTGGTTAGATCTTGAAAGCCTATACCCCAAAAAATCCTGTTGGTCTCTAAGGTGCTACTGGACTCAAATCTAGCTTCAGGAGAATAAAATTGTGAGTGGAAAAAAGATGTGGGGAGATGCTTAACCATTTCTCCTCTCCAAATGAGCATGCCTAGTAAATGCTTTTCCTCACTGTGGGGTGTCAAACTCAGGTCTCGTTTGCCATGAAGTTCTTAATTTTCTCTAATCCTGTATGCCTATTGTTCTGGGTCATTCTGGTTGGGAGGGGGGGTATGTGAGCGTGTGGGTGTGGAGACCGCTTTGCTAAGAGTCACGCCAGCTTGTAACTGCGTTAAGTGGGGCCTCCCTCCTCTGGGAAGAATGCACGCTTGACCTTGGACACCAGACACTGCTAGATAATACGCTTGCAGGTGCTTGGGAGGGCTAGGTGCATAGTAGATTTTGGCGGGCTGACTGTGTTGGTGTGATTGGACTGGTCACAAGGGGGGGCTGTTTGAACTCTGTATAATATCATAACTGGTGCCAAGAGGGTAAGTTCTGACATAGATTGTCTTAGCTTGAAACATCTTCATCTCTCCATAAACAAATCACTGCTTGGAGAATGTTGTTGGGAGTAAGTTTGAGACTGACATAGTGTCAGAATTCCATTCTCCTCGACCTGCTATACCACAACAGCGATGAGCGAAGGAAGCGAGGAAAGGGGGACTACATCCCCTCCGAAATCACCCGACTTCAAAGGCACCCCTGACAACCATGTAGAGGGGCCAAAGCTGAAGGATGAAAAAGGAGCGAAGTGTAGGCCCCCCAGGTTCAGGCTGCACCGATGGACCACCCCAGATTGGGCTGCCCCATCCAGGGGGGGCATGGATGTCTGGTGATGGCGCTCAGAGGGAGACTGCCATCGGCCCTCCGAGATCTTCTGCAACGACCCCGAAAGCTTGCTGATGGCAAGAGCAGAAGCAGAAAGCTGCCTCCTGGAGGAGATCACGGAGGTTTGGCAGGAGCTGCAAACAGAGATGGCAGAACTGGTCCGGGACACCCAGAAGACCCTCGGGGGCTTGGCGGACATCATTCAGGAGGTGTTGCAGCAGGAGCTTCGAGGCTTGGGACTACAAGCGGGAGCAGGTGGCACAGAAGGGTCCCCCCAGGCATTGAGGCCCCTCCAGAACCACCACTGGCATTCTCTGGCCCTGCTGCCCCTAGAGACTCACTCAAAGCAGTGTTCAACGGGACCCCAGGAAAGTTGGTGTTCTTCGTGCTCCAGGTCCAGAGGTTCCTGAGAGAGTGGGACCACACTTTCACCTCAGATGAACACCAGGTGGACTACCTGGGATCAAGACTACGAGATCTGTGCTTGAAGTGTGGGGCCCCTAGGCATTTTGCCACCACCTGCCCACGAGAGCCCTGGAGGAACCAAGAAGGAAGAATGCAAGGGACCAGAGAAGAGGAGCAAGCCACTCGGGGGTCGTCCCAAGCCACCAAATGTCCTCCAGTCAGGAGGGAAAGAGGAGATGGAAAGCATCTCGTCCAATGAGGAGGAGCTTCAACAACCAGCAGGAAAAGGCCGGGACTTGCTGTGAAGGGCGCTAAATAGCAGGTCCGAAACTCTCCTGTGCCAGAATCAGTGAGAACCTCTTACTCCTTCTTTTACATGACTGTGACTGTAGTCAACCCCTCCCTTCACAACCACATTTGAGTGTGGGCTCTCATACTCCGGGTGTACCCGAGATTTAATCAGCCCAAGCTATGAGAGCTGGAGGAACCCTTAGTTTTCTCCCAGTTAGACGGGATGCCTATGAAAGGGGAACCATGCATGCATCGTACTGTTCACCTACCAGTGGGAGCAGGCTCTCAGTGGGAGTTAAGATCATTCATTGTGAACCCCTCGGCAAAGTTCCCGATGGTTTGGGGAAGTCCCTGGATCAAGGTGCACTATCCCTTTATCCAGTGGAGTGTAGGGACCTTGCGGTTCATGGACCCCCGCTGCAAAGAACATAAATGGTACCCGGAGTGGTGGGGGACCGTGGCCGGTGCTGGAGTGGGTGTGTCTGGCCAAGGAGGAGCTGAATCAGATCCCCCCTGAATATAGAGACTTGGCCAAAATATTTGAGGAGGGGGAGCCAGATGAACTACCCCCTCACCAGAACACTGACTGTGCTATTAAAATCTTGCCTGGCCATAAAATGCCCAAGGGGAAATTGTATTCTGTGAGTCCAGCTGAAAAAGAGGAATTGCGGAAGTTTATTGATAAGAATTTGGCTTGGGGGTTCATTCGGCCAGCAGCTTCACCTTTTGCCGCTCCAGTGCTCTTTCAGAAGAAAAAGGATGGAGGGTTAAGACTGTGCACAGATTATCAGGGTTTGAATGCCGTGTCGATGTCCAATGCATATCCCGTCCCCTTAATAAAAGACTTGCTGGTAGAAACCGCTCGGGGCCACATTTTCACTAAGCTGGACTTGAGAGATGCTTACTTTTGGGCTTGCATCTGAGAGGGGGACGAACATAATACTGCTTTCAATACCCCCTTGGGTCAATTTGAGTATTTGGTTATGCCGTTTGGGCTCTCGGGGGCTTGAAACTTCTTCATCTCTCAATAAACAAATCACTGGTAAGAGAGTGTTCAAGGGTTCCAGCTGTGTAGTTAGCCAGCCATGTCAGGAGCTCTGTGTATGAGATTCAGCCCACAATGGTTGGGTGAGTGAGGACCCACCTTTGGGTTTGATGAACCCTTTCCACTGAATCTACTGTACTTGAATGGATTGGCATGCACATGATACGTTTGATTTCTGTGGCTTTAATCCCTACTAGATGTTTCTTCAGGCTCAAGGATTTCCACTCATGGAGTGCAGTTTTCTTGCCTGAAACATATCCCAAAAACGCTTGTTCCTGGGGGTTTCCTCTCTTCCAAGGGGGCATTTTGGGCTGCTGCTGGCGGAAGGAGACAAAAAAATCACACACTGTGAGCAGAAATCCTTCCGACCACAGAAGTATGTAATCTGGATCCAAGCCAGCTCATGTGTGCTTTTTCTTTGTTTTTAATCTCATTGTGACAAACAGTATTTCTCTCAGACTTGTTGATATGTCCAGCATTTCATGCTTTGGATAAAGTATACTATTGATTACAGAAGTCCAGGCTGCTGTAAAGTTGCCTTTAAGATTCCAAAGGATGGTTATTTTGGCAAGCTGTTTGGGACTCAGAATAACTGCATGTTAATTTAACTGCCTTGACTCTCTGGTTAGGTAGTCATCCTACATAGGAACATTGTGTCTCATCTGACCTATTTCTTTCTTCCTTTTTTCCTGTGTAAGGCGGAAAGGAAAACCCAAAAGAAAGAGCAAATACAAGATCTTGGATGCCACAGATCAAGAGAGTCTGGAATTAAAACCAAATCCCAAAGCAGGTAAAACATAAGGCAGGAGGCTGGCCTGGTCAGAGTGCTGGCACAGGCTCCTATTCATGAGTGTTAATTCATGAGGGAAGCTCCCAGCTGAATGGGGGATATGCAGGAAAGCTGAATTTTCAGTGATTCCATTTAAAATATGTTGGACACATTTGTTCCCCACCACCACCACCCATATGTCTATCAAGGGTGGCTGCTTGCCAGAAAATGCTGGTTGTAAAACTAAGGCCGTCACTTTTTCTCCCTCTATAATGGGTATTATCCAGTGATGGTGCATTTCCAAGAGGCGTTCAGGAGCACTTTTATAGCAGGTGGGTGCTGAAGGAATGTCTCAGTTTTGCTTTTTAAGGTACTCATCCTGGGCAATATATCGAGGGTTGCCAACCCTTTGGCTACCTGTGCCAAAGACCATAGATATTAAAGGAAATTCCTAGAGTGTCATGGACACTGTGATGTGTGTCCCCTCATTTTTTCTCCTGTTTAATCGATGGTGCACAGGAGGGAAAGGGTGGGAGGTCGCCTGCCACCGCCTGGCAAATGGTAAGCCTGTGTATTACAGCAGCATATCAGCTAAGCCTCACAGGGTCCTGGATATGCCCAGCTGCCATTCACACTAATCATCGTGTTTTCTGGAAATGGAAAGATCCTGCTCTCCCCTCTTTCTTTACCTTCTCCACACACACAGCCCATTGTGGTAGAAATAGAAGAAGTTGCTGCTTTAGCAGACAATGAATAGCTGGCATGTAGGAAAAGAGGCGTCCTGCCAGCTGCAGGCATTTGCTCCAGGCACAGGGGGTCGTTTTCCTTATCAGATGGGCCACGGGAACGATTTGCTGCTTTTAAAATTATATAATGGGGTATGCAGCTCCAAAGGGCTCCTCTGCAGAACTTGTGAAATGTTTTTTTAAAATATCATTTGTGAGGGACAAATATTATAAAAAGTTCAGTCAGGAGGAAATGTGTGAAATATCCCGATCCTTCATGCAGTCCTGACAAATGGACTTCTCTGAGAGAGGATTTGTTTGAGTGAAAACAGAGGGCGGGTGAGAGACACACAGCCCTTAAACGTTGTTTGCTAGCTGAAAGTAATTCCTTATCATGGTGTTATCTCATTTAATGATGTTCCAGCCAAGTGAACCGAGCTCAGGCACTACCTCCTATAGGAGGTAGTGGCTCAGGCGCTTAATGACAACCATAGAGAGCATTGTGGCAGCAGTTTGGAAGCCTTCCTCCTTCTGGGAGAAGCTGTGCCTGAAACTCCGTCAGCCTCTCAGCCTTGCTCCCCCCCCCGTCCCTTTAATTGAGGCTCAGCCACTGATGGGGATAACCCAGCTCACTGTCGGTAGCAAATGGGTCCTGTCTATTGGCGAGAGTGAAACTCAACTTGAAATGCCACCAGAGCAAGCAAGCATTCCCATCTCCCTGTGCAGACATTGCTTTAACTTGTTGTAGATTTTCTGGGCTGTATGGCCGTGGTCTTGGCCTTGTAGTACCTGACGTTTTGCCAGCAGCTGTGACTGGCATCCTCAGACGTATAACACAGAAAGATGGAGCACTCTGTCAATTTGAGAAGAAAAATGGTAGGCAGGTAATGTATATCTACCCAGGAAGGTGGGGTAGGGCTGAGTCATTATCTTGTAGGAGTTTCCCAGGCTGTGAGATGCTAATGGAGGAGCTTTCCTGAGGAGGTTCTTCTGCATGTGGATTGGCTGTTGAAATTCTAATCTTATCTGTAGTGCTGTTGTAAGATGTAGAGCATTTTTTGTTTTTTGACGGTCACAAGATCTACAGAAAACCAACTCACATGGATCGTTATTTACACTTAAGCTCCAGTCACCACCCTCGGCAAAAAGAGGCATAATCAAAACATTAGTAGACCATGCAAGACGGATATGTGAACTGCACGTTCTCAATGATGAACTAAATCATCTAAACCACGCAGTTCAAGCAAATGGCCACTCCAAGAATGAAATCAGAAGAGCGATTAAACCAAAGGTAAAACAATCTCCCACAGGAAAAGTGTTTTTGCCATATATCAAAGGAATCACTGATCAGATGGGAAAACTTATGAAAAAAACACAACCTACAAACAGTATTCAGACCCACCAGAAAAATACAACAGATGCTACAATCGGCAAAACACAGACCTTCTCACTTCTGCAGGAATATACCGCATACCCTGCAGTTGTGGACAGCTTTACATCAGGACCATACAGCGTAGCATCCAGACAAGAATAAAAGAATATGAAAGACACTGCAGACTTGGCCAACTTGAAAAATCAGCAGTGGCTGAACATAGCCTAACTCAAGCAGGACGCAGTATCTTGTTCCAAGACACTGAAATGCTGGGCAACACATCCAATTACTGTGCCAGATTACACAGGGAAGCCATTGAAATTCATAAACATAAACACAATTTCAGCAGG